TCATATATATATATATATATATATATATTCAATTATTCATTTTTTCGATTTATACTAATTCGATTATTTAATGTTAATGAAAACAACTTCAAGTATACAAAACAAGCTATGTCACAGTTTAAGCAACCGAAATACCCAAAAACAAAAGGGACCAAAAAAAAATTAAAAAGGGAAAAACGTAATTTACAACAAACAAGTAGCATGCATGTTGAAACACAGAAACGGTGAAAGTTCGAGAAGACTCGCACCTGAGCTGCAACAGTGTGCGAACGAGTTGGGAATAGCTTGGTAATGCAAGCAGTGTTGAAGCCATGTTCCGAAAGTCCAATGGCGGCTCTCAACCCTGCACCACCAGCACCCACGACAACCGCATCGTACTTGTGATCGACAACGTTGTACGACGAGTTCCCACCACTCTGCGCAACAACAACCAAAACGACGCCGTCTCAGTAAAATCCAGAAATCGAAAGTAAAATTAAACAATGGAGAGAGAGAGAGAGAAGATTGATTCTCACAGAGAAAAATCTTGAAACGTGAGATCTAAGTGGATTGGATCTCTCCGAAGCTGGTACGCGAATCGCACGAGCCACGCACCGCCACATCGTTTCCGAACACACGCTCTTTTTCTCTGTAACTCGCTTAGCCTTGCGGCTACTCTCCTTCTCCAATTTATATGAAGTATTTTTATTTACTTTTAGCGTTGTTGGTCACGTTTTTAGCTTCGTTGACAATTTGCATGTATCTGTTTTCGCGTTTCTTCTTTTGACAAGTAGCAAATTGGATGGTCGGAGTAAATGGAAGAGATACCACGACAACTCTGGTGCGACACAAATATAATAGATAATTTTAATTTTAATTTTAATTTTAATTTTTATTATAAGAAATTAAAATTTAATCCTAGTTAGGAACGAGTGGAAGATCATTAGGAATTAGGAGTGTTGGAATTTGTAGGAAAGAAGGTAATGGTATGGATATTTTGGAAGTTAGGTACTTTAGGCGGCGAAAAGTGGCGTGGTCGACGTAAGATGGTTGAGAGATCGACACGTGGCGAATCCGGAGCGTTTGCATGGTTAAAAAGCGAGGGTGACTGGTGTGCTTTAGGCCACGAGTGAGATGATATAGACAGTCCACGTAGCCTTCAAACGCACCGCAACTGCCAAAATGTAAATACGCACATGATGGGTTTAAATGGAATTTTCTTCTCACTATCAAAGGGAAGAAGGAAATTTTATAAATGAGAATTTGATTCAAACGTTTAAAAAAGTAGGAATAACAAAAGAATCACCGAGTACAAAAGATACTTTTACTTCAAGTTATTATTCCCTCCATTCTATTTTGAGAATCCTTTATTTATTTATTTATTTATTTATTGAGAAAATGTGTTCTCATTTATTTATTTATTTTTTTTATTTTCACGATCTAAGGTTGCATTAATTTTATTTTTCTGTAAATTCTATTTTTATGTCATTTATTATTTATTAGGGGAAAGAGAGACTTTGTGATTCTAAATATTTTTAAAGGTAAAATAAATAAAAAAATATAATAGTGTGAATGATTATTTAGAATTGATTAATAATAGTTTTTAAAAATATTTATAAAAAAAATTAAAGACATGATAATTCACAATTATAGAAATGAAAAACGAAGAAATGTTCTCTTTATCTATTAATAAATACATTTTTTTTATAATTCAAAGATAAATTACTTAATTATTACATAATAATTTAATATATAAATGCATTTAAAAAAAAGTTTCTCCTTAAATTTCAAAGAGAGATATCAGTCTATGGAAGAAATCAAGACTTCATAATAAAGGGAAAAAAAAAAGGTGTCATCAGAAGCAATTAAGAGAAATGTTGTGTGAAATAGGTGTCATCAGAAGCAATTAAAAGAAATGTTGTGTGAAATTTTGAGGTATAATTTATAATATATAAAAGGGATATTCTCTTTTCATATTCACTTTTTTTAAAATAATTATACTTTATATTGTATTATATATATATTTTTTTCACTATCATATATATTTAAAGATAAAATAGAATAAAAAATATGTAAAAAAAACAATTACCTCTATAAAAATAATAACAACTCATTTATATTATTATTTTTTTACAAAAACATTATTTATTTTATTTTTTCAGAGATATGAAGTGCCTTTTTCTCTTCTAATGGAAATAAAATTGATAATTTTATTTGAAACAATGAGTTTTATTGTTTTCCTGGTTAACGAAACATAGCTTTAAATGATTATTATTTGGAAAGAGATAGAAAGTATTAATTAACAAAGGTTTTTTATTGTCTTCTTTAAATCTTTTGCTTTTAAAGATTAAACTATTTAAAAATATTAGAATAATTAAAATGATTAAAATATTTTTTAAATTATTTTTAAGTTACTTCTTTTTAGTAAATATTTATAAATATTCATAAATAATGAGAATATTAATAAAATTTATGGATATTTAATTAATGGATACTCATATAAATATTAATACAAAGATAAGACATTTTTATTTAGACTAAGTACCGAGAAGTTACTATTTATGCCACTGGTGTTTGTGTACTACTCTACCTTTGTAGATAACTCATTTAAGTATTAAAAAAATAAAAGCAATGTAAAATTACTAAATAAGGACCGAAACCCACACCTAGTTTCTAAAGGCAAGTTATCACAAGACAAAATGAATTCCTTATCTATTATGTTACATAAATATTATATATATATATATATATATATGAGATAATCATCCATACATTATTAATGTAAAATTTTTTATACTAATAACCAATCATAATTTTTAAAGTTATTTATTTTATTATTATTTCATTAAATAAGCAAATGACATGACACTATTAAAAAATATAATTGATTGTCCGTGTAAAATTTTTTTACACTCACAGTGTATAGATAATTAACTATATATATATATATATTATGTACACTAGTTCATGTAATTTAATACGATTACATATAATATAATGAGTTATTTGTACTTAAGTATCGAAAATAACTCAAAAATATAAGTTTTAACTAAGAAAAATTTATAAGCCTCAAGATATATTAATGAATAATAGTTAATGCACTAGTGTATAAATATTATTTTACTTTCCCTTTCTACACCAATTGTTATATAACAATGTAGAAAGTGATGTGCTAATATTTTTATAATTTAAAATATTTGTTTACATCGATTCTAAAATAATCAATGTAAAAAATTCTTTTTATAGTAGTTTAAATTAATTAGAATCGTGTAAAAAAATATTTATATTAGTTCCATTAATAACCGATATAGTATAACTTTGAATTTGAACACTTTCTAGAAATTTCTCTTCCAAAACTTAACTTTTCAATTGCAAAATAATAAATAAATAAAGGTTGCAAGTCTTAACAACAAAGTGATGGAGGAGGAAAAATGTTATTGTTGTTCGATCTTTATCTCACGGGGAACATGGATGACATCGAGGAGGCTTCACAGAGGACTCGTGCAGGAGAGCTATGATAGGCTTTGTGGAGAACTCATTATGGCTTTTAAAGTTTGAAGCGAATGATTATTATACCTGTCTGAGGGCACACTCGTAATCTTCTGAGATGAGAAGGGTTGAACGGGAGCTTCTGCTGGTGGACTCTTCAGAGGGGGGAGGTACCTGCAAAAGGCACTCCGACGCTCAAGTCAGGACAATCACGATTTTCTAAGGTAATAAATGAACAGTGACGTACCTCGATATAAATGACCTATTTATACTACCACTGATGGGCCTTGTCAATCGTGGGCCTCTTCTGATGCTTACCAAATTAGGTAATATGACGCTAATCAGCTAATTATGTCTTAATCATGCGCTTATCCTTGTTAACTGTGATCTGTACTGTAATCTGTTTTACCCTTCGGCATATCGCCGAGATGACAGGTTAAGGCTAGGGAAGTTGAACGTCTTCGGCTGTTGACCGGGCCGACAGATGCTTATTCGGTTATCCTACTTGATCGGCGTTTGGCCGAGCCGACACGTAGTATACGGAGATGCATCATGATGCTGTTTGTATTGGCCTTCAACCGAGCTGATATTGTTAGCAGACTATTCTCTGCCTTCGGCTGTATGCCGAGCCGATGTTAACGACAAGGTTTACATAGGCATGGTTCACTTCGCGTGGGTGTCTGACGGAATGGCACGTGTTGGTCCACGTGATCGATAGGGTTCTCCTGGTACACAAGCCCCCCAGCCTTGAGGAGTGAAACGACGCAAAGGGTAAATGTGGTATTTCAATTATTACTTCTTTTGAGGGAAGGCCAAGGGTTACAACTGCTGATGGGAAGCGAAGGGTTGTAATCGTTGGGCACTAATGACGCATACGAGGGGTTATAGCTGCTGATGGAATGTGAAGAGTTGTAACCGCTGTCAGAATACCAAAGGTTATATCCGTTGGGTATTAATGACGCATGCGAGGGGTTATGCATCATGAGCCATTGGATCCAATTGATCCAACGGTGTGCAGAGGGGTGCGGCATTTGATATAATTGCAAGGAACGCCTATAAATAGGCATGTGGTGGGGACCTGAAAGGTACGCGTTTATTACTTGTTCCGAGCCAAAGTCAAACTGCAGCTGTAGCGTTCGAGCGTTTTCATTGAGATCAACCAAGCTCCACTTATAGGTACGTTACTATGGCAGATATGGACGTTGTTCACATCGGCTCTTCTGGGGACACGGGAGACTCCGCCGGCACCGGGTCGTAAGAAGCGCCGAACCGAGACAACCACTCGGCCTCGGCTTCGAAAAGGGAGGAGAACATAGAGTCCGTTTCAGGGTCCGAGGGTCGACCGGATGAGAGTGAATCTTCATCAACGATAGTGTCTGAGGATCGTCCGGTCAGGGGTGGTGGAACTGGTAGGCGTTTCGGTCCCATAGACACCCCTGGCTACTCGTGGGTGCATGGGGAGGTTGGTAGCGTGTACTCTCGGTATATCGACAGGAATGCTATCGCTCTTTTCATTTCGGCCACGAAGTGCTTGACTTTTCCCGAGGAGGAGGAGCCTTCCACCATCTTCTTTCAGCCATGCCGAGGCGACGGAGGGCACAACCCCGATTTCGTATACCTGGATCAAGGGTTGTGCAAGTACCAGTTTTTTTACGTATACGATTACATGTTTCGAGATTTGAAGGTGACACTTCCCTTCGATGATTATTTCGTGGGTATACTGTGGCTTTTGAATGTGGCGCCGAGCCAAGTTCATCCGAATACTTGGGCGGCCATGCAAGGTTTCCGACAGCTTTGCTTGGCAGTCAACATCAAACCTACCCCGCACTTTGTTTCTTTACCATTATTCGTCTCGGCCAACGAAGAAGGCTAAATGGTTGTCGCTGGTTCGGCACGACAACTGTTTGTTGCAGCCTTACACCACCTCCTATAAAAATTTTAAAATAGGATTTCTTAAGGTGATGATTCGACCGACAACAGGAAATAAGTATTTCTTTGACGTTGAAGGGAGACCATTGTTTCCGTTGTACTGGACCCAGAAGCCACGAAAGTACGACACGGTGTCCAAGTCTCGAATGTCCCAAGAAGAGAGGGCTAGTTTAAATTTTCTCGAGAAGTTGCCTCGGCCTCTACCATGCCGGCCCCTGGTCCGATTGTGTGAATCGGCCGACGTAGTAGAAGATCTAATCGGTAGTAATTTTCCTACTGATGTGAATTCTTGCATTATCATTGATTTTGACTAATGATGTGCAGGTATCATGGCGAGTTATGGAGATGATGACTTGGATATCCGCCGGCTGATCGGTAGCCGAGTGGCGGCGCCGACGACTACAAGAACCCCGAATGAAGGGCGCATGGGTGGAAACAACACTCTTGTCCCTCAAGGTGGCGGGACGGGATCGGCCCCCAAGGTGACGAAGGGAGGCAAGGGGTTGAATAGGCCCCAAAGTGAAAAAAGAAGGCCCACGGATACCCGGGTCGAGGAACAAAGCCGTCAGGCCAAACAACAACGCCTGGCTACCCTAACTGTTCCCCAGGGTTTGGTCGGACCAAGTTTCCTGGCTAATAATGTTAACGCTCAGGATTTTCTGAGCCAAGACTTGACCTCTGAATCGGGTCAAGGAGTGTTGAGTCGCATGACCTCGGCTCAGAAATGGAGCTTCTGCTGTGAGTTCCAAGTGCGTGCTGTGGCCTTGGCACAGAGCATTGTGATGGAGCTGAACGGTGAGGCCGATGGGCTTCGTCAGCAACTAGCTGAGCAGGAGAAGTCTCTCCAAGAGACGTTGACGGCGCTTACTGACGCCCAAACGACCAATAGCAAATATCAGGCCGAGCTAGATCGCCGGGGGCGAACTATTGACGACCTGGCTCTGAAGGTTCAGCGTCTTGAGCTGGCCTTGAAGAATGAGACAAAGAAGGTTGCTGTTCTGGGCAAGGCGTTGGATGTTGAGAAGATTGCTTTCGGGGCTTATAGGGAGAAGGCCCGCAACAAGGTCCTCTCTCAGCATCAGGCTGGCTTTGCTCAGGCGGCTCGGCAAGCATGCTTCTTTGGCGACTTCCCCCCTGAATTTCATCTTGATATGACGAAGGATTTCTTCCAGGGGAAGTTGGTGGACCTGTCCTCCATCCCTCCAGACCAACAAGCCGACGAGGAAGTCCCGGCACGGCCAGCTGGGCCGAATGAGGAGGAGACAGCGTACGAGGAAGGTGCGCCTGAAGATGGTCCGGTTCATGGGGAACTGGAAGTGGGGTCTTAAGCTTTGTTAATTTTGTTGTAATGATGGGCCGATAGCGCCCTTTTTAATGTACTCTTTTGGGCCGCTAGTGCCCTGTTTAATGAATCTGGATTTCTTTTGCTGTCGTATATTATAATTGCCTTTTTTCGTGATGAAAACTCTTAAAAGTTAATTTAAGCTGCGTCCTTGGCCGAGAGAGATCTCGGGAGGGAAGACGTAAATAACGTAAGCCACATCCTTGGCCGAGAGAGATCTCGGGAGGGAAAACTTGTAAATAACGCAAGCCACATCCTTGGCCAAGATAGATCTCAGGAGGGAAGACTTGTAAATAACATGTCACATCCTTGGCCGAGAGAGATCTCGGGAGGGAAGACGTAAAATTAATCATAAGTCACATCCTTGGCCGAGAGAGATCTCAAGAGGGAAGACTTGTAAATAACGTAAGCCACATCCTTGACCAAGAGAGATCTCGGGAGGAAAGACTTGTAAAAATCGTAAGTCACATCCTTGGCCGAGAGAGATCTCGGGAGGGAAGACTTGAAAATAACGTAAGCCACATCCTTGGCCGAGAGAGATCTCGGGAGGGAAGACTTGTAAATAACGTAAGCCACATCCTTGGCCGAGAGAGATCTCGGGAGGGAAGACTTGTAAATAACGTAAGCCACATCCTTGGCCGAGAGAGATCTCGGGAGGGAAGACTTGTAAATAACGTAAGCTACATCCCTGGCCGAGAGAGATCTCGGGAGGGAAAACTTGTAATTTTAACAAAACAAAGAGATTATGACAATCTTGAGTGCTTAAAATGTATTCTCATTAATGGATTGATGCCTCGTTAAAAACCTTGCCGACCAAAAACCCCTTTTCACGTTTTTATAAGGGGGAAAAAGATCAGTCAAGGAAAAGAGTGCATCGTGATACATATACATTGTTGGATGCTTCGGCCTGCCCATTTGACTGAGGATGTTCCACTGATGTGAACCGGTGCCGGATGCCGAGGTTTTCAAGGAAAATGTTGAACTTCTTGTCAGTGAATTGAAGGCCATTTTCCGAAACGATGGCATACGGGATGCCGAAGCGGGTAACAACATTTTTCCAAACAAACTTTTAGACATTGGCTGCGGAGATGCAGGCGAGCGGTTCGGCTTCTATCCACTTTGTAATGTAATCCACCGCGAAGAGAAGAAATTTAACTTGCCCCTTTGCCACAGGGAACGGTCTAAGCACGTCTATATCCCATAAGGCAAACGGCCATGGGGAGCTGATACTGTGCAACTCGGCGGCCGAAGCGTGGATGAGGTTCTCATGCTTTTGACATTGCACACATTTTTTAATGAACTCGGCGCAATCTCCCTTCAGGGTTGGCCAATAGTAGCCGGTTCGCAAGAATTTGGCTGCCAAAGTTCGTCCCCCTGAGTGGGAGCCGCAGATACCTTCGTGAATTTCCCTTATTACGTAGTCAGCTTGGTGATTGTCAATACATTTGAGTAGTGGGGTGGAGAATCCTCGCCTGTAGAGCTCATCGGCCACCATGGAGTACCGAGCCGCTTGTGTTCGTAACTTCTTCGCTTCCATCGGGTCGGTTGGCAACTCCCCTCGGACAATAAAGCTCCAGATGGTGGTCATCCAGGTCGGCGTTTCAGTACCGGTTGTCATACACTCAACTGTCACACTTGGGGAAGGAATCTCAAGGTGAATGGTTGTGCGCAATTGTCCTGGCTTCTGGCTACTGGCGAGCCAAGCTAACTGATCGACTCGTTCATTGTTGCTACGCAAGACGTGTCGTATCTGAACCTCGGTGAAATCGTCCTTGAGCTTTTGGAAGAGGTGGTAGTATTGCAAAAGATTGGAGTCTTTGACCTGAAAGTTATCATTGACCTGTTCGGCCACGATCTTCGAGTCAGTCCAGCATATGACTTTTTTCACACCCATTTCGTTTGCTAACCGCATCCCGGCTAGTAAGGCTTCATATTCCGCTTGGTTGTTGGATGCTCAGAAGCCGAAGCGAAGGGACTATTCAACTGTGATGCCTGAAGGACTAGCCAGAATTATCCCTGCCCCACTACCTTGGGCATTGGAGGACCCATCGACATGCATGGTCCACGACTCGTCTTCAAAACGGCCCGGAGGAGTGAGCTCGTTGACAAAGTCGGCTAAGTGCTGCGACTTGATGGGGCCTCTCGGCTCGAAAGACACGTCGAACTCTGAGATCTCGACCGACCATGCCATCATCCAGCCGGCAATCTCTGGTTTCCTTAGGACTTTTGCAATCGGACAATCAGTTCGGACAACTATCTTGTGGCTTTGGAAGTAATGCCTGAGTCGGCGGGCGGTGTAGATGAGCCCTAAGACAACTTTTTCTATCAACTGGTAGCGCCGTTCGGCATCTTGTAGTGTCCAACTGATGAAACATACAGGTTGTTGTTCATCTTGGTTCTCTTGTATTAGGACAGCACTGATTGAACTGCCTGAAACAGCCAAATACACCATCATGTCGAGGTTGGCAACTGGTTTGGAAAGGATCGGAGGTGTACTAAGACGCTCCTTGAACTGTCGGAATGATTCTTCACACTCTTGGGCCCATTTGACCCGCTCCGTCTTCTTCAGTAAGAAGAGGATATGTTTAGCTATCTCGACCAGGCAAGGAAGGAACCGAGAGAGTGAGGTGAGCCGACCTGCTAACTTCTGAACCTCTTTTAGAGTACCTGGACTTTTCATATCCAGAATGGCTTGCCATTTGTCAAGATTTGCCTCAATGCCTCGGCTGGACAGCATGAACCCTAAAAATTTGCCGCCTGAGACCCCGAACACACATTTCTCGGGGTTGAGTCTCATTTGGTGTTGCCGAAGCGCCTGGAACACCTCAGTTAAGTCTTGTGTATGTGCAGATACGTTACTTGACTTTACAACCATATCATCGACGTATACTTCCATGCTTCGACCAATGTGGTCACTGAAAATTTTGTTCATCAACCGCTAATAGGTGGCTCCGGCATTTTTTAATCCAAAGGGCATCACCCGGTAGCAGTAATTGGCCGTTTCGGTGATGAACGCCGTTTTCTCTTCAACTTGGGGGTGCATACGGATTTGATTGTACCCGGAGTATGCATCCAGGAACGACAAAAATTTGTGACCAGACGCCCCATCCACAAGCCGGTCAATATTTGGTAGGGGGTAGGCGTCCTTCGGGCAAGCTTTGTTTAAGTTGGTGTAGTAGGTGCACATGCGTCACTTCCCATTCGGTTTCTTGACCATGACTACGTTGGCCAGCCAGGTTGTATAATGTACTTCTCAGATGAACCGAGCATCCAACAGCTTGCCCACTTCAGCTTCAATCGCTGCCTTCCTTTCCTCTCCGGCCTTCCGGCGCCGTTGAGCGATCGACCTTGCTTCCTTGCTTATTGACAACTTGTGGCAGAGAAAATTGGGATCAATGTCAGGCATGTCGGATGGATGCCAAACAAATAAATCATTGTTTTCGAGGATCACTTGGCTGATAGTCAATCGCTCTTGTTCGGATAGGTTGCCTCTTATGTAAGTAACTTGGGATTCCAACATTCCCACTTGAACCGATTGCTTGTCTTCAATAGGTTCTACCCTCTCGTCTTAATCGATCCGGGGGTTGAGGTCCATGGTCGATTGCTGTGACACCGAGTGAACGCCTCTCGGCTCCTTGGGCGCTTCGTCGTTCACTTTTGGTAATCGAAAGCTGGCAAAGTAGCATTCTCGCCCAGTCTTCTGATCGGCATGGACCGCGATGACTCATCCTGACTCGGCCGGGAACTTCATGGCTAAATGAGGGGTGGACACGATTGCTCCGAGCCGATTTAAGGATGGTCGGCCAAGTAAAATATTATAGGATGTGTTGGCGTGAACCACTACATATTTTACCGAAACGTCTCGACATTCTGTTCCTTCAAACCCGAACCTGGTCGTCAGCCTGATGTACCCTCTCGTCTTGACTCGTTCTCCTGAGAACCCAACCAAGGGTTCATCATAAGGGACCAGTTCGGATTCTGGGATGCCCAATTGCTTGAACGTGTTTCAGTAAAGGATATCGGCTGAACTCCCCTAATCAACCAACGTCTTACGCACAATACAATTGTGAATTTCGACACTAATTACCATTGGATCATCCTAGTCCGGGTCGATGCCTTTGAAATCGGCGTTGGTGAAGGTTATGGTGGTTAAACAGCGACGGACTGTTTCCACGGCGTGCACGTGCCGAACGACCTGCAGGTGCCTCCGTTGTGCCGACGAGGATGAGCCACCACCAGCGAATCTGCCAGCTATGGTGTTGATGACTCGCCGAGGCTGTGTTGAAGGCTCCACTTCTCTCATATCTCTTGACCGACTGCATTCCCTGTATGAGCGTGTTTCTGTTCTCCTCTGCTCGGGCTGATCGTGCCGCTGCGACCGATCGACGTGTCGAGATGAGTTCGGACGGTCCACGAAGCCTTGCAGCTGCCCCTGCTTGATTAAATCTTCAATTTTATCTTTTAAGGCCGCACATTCCTCTGTTGAATGCCCTCGATTGCGATGGTACCTGCAAGACTTCGTTGTATCGGCCCTGGGAGGGGTCGAAGCTCGTTTCGGGACGGCTAGTACTTCTGAGGCTAGTGCTTGCTTTAGTATGGCCGATCTGCTAGTATTGAGTGGCGTATACTGCGAGTACCTCGGCCTGCGAGGAGGCTTCTCGCGGGGAATTAGCTCTTTCGGACGGCTCCGAAAATTATTCTCGGCCTGCTTGTCAGGTTTTGCCGACACCTCTGCCCGGGCTTGGTTACGGAACTCACCTAATTCTTCCATCTGCATGTATTTGTCGGCTCGCCGACACAAGTCATCCATGTTAGTGGGAGGTTTCTTGTAAATGCTGTTGGCGAAGGGCCCTGGTTTCAAAGCTGTGGTGAGGTGGTGTAGAGCTACAGCAGGGTTCAGGTCTCGGATTTCGAGCGTTGCTTTGTTAAACCGGCTCATGAATGCCCGAAGGGATTCCTTTTTCTCCTTACGGATACTAACTAATGCCAAAGAGGTCAACTGGTGGGGTCGGCTTGTAGCAAATTGAATGGTGAATTGGGAAGCTAACGTGTTGAACGAGTCAATCAAGTTAGCAGGAAGCCGAGTAAACCAGCTCAACGCTCGCCCTTTCAATGACGTTGGGAAGATTCGACACAAGGCGGCGTCATCAGTAGTGCTCAGAGTAACCTGAGTTAAGAACACATCCACGTGCTCATCTGGGTCGGTTGTACCATCGTACTTGTCGAGTGGCAAGGACTTCCAATGGTTAAGGAGTGAAGACTGCATATTGTTTGGGGTAAAGGGGTGTGGGTGTGCTCCGGCCGGCACTGGTTGTATCGGCCGGCCGATCGAAGCATGGATGCCTGGGGCTACAACAGAAGTGTGAGGGATAGAGGTGTGATGGTCGAGCGAGTGAAACGACCCCTGAGTGTGGGTCATCTAAGAGGGTTTCCATGTGGGATCCCGGTACTGGTTTTTGAGAGCAGCATTCTCTTTTCGTAGTGCGACCATCTCTTCAGCATCTTTCTCCCGTTGCTGCCTCATGGCGGTCATTTCTTCTTTCATTTGACGTACCATATCGGTCAAGTTTGTCTCTTCTACCGTCTCGGCGTTGTCTGCCCCGGACCGGTGTTCATCTTCGGACTGGTGGTCTTCTACGTTAGTTCTTCTTGTCTTTGCCATAATGATTCTTCAAAAGTTTCTTCACAATGATCGGTTCGGCTCCACGGTGGGCGCCAAAATGTACCTGTCTGAGGGCACACTCGTAATCTTCTGGGATGAGAAGGGTCGAACGGGAGCTTCTGGTGGACTCTTTAGAGGGGGGAGGTACCTGCAAAAGGCACTCTGACACTCAAGTCAGGACAAGCACGATTTTCTAGGGTAATAAATGAACAGTGACGTACCTCGATATAAATGACCTATTTATACGACCACTGATGGGCCTTATCAATCGTGGGCCTCTTCTTAGGCTTACCAACTTAGGTAATATGACGCTGATCAGCTAATTATGTCTTAATCATGCGCTTATCCTTGTTAACTGTGATCTGTACTGTAATCCGTTTACCCTTCGGCATATCGCCGAGCAGGCAGGTTAAGGCTATGGAAGTTGAACGTCTTCGGCTGTTGACCGGGCCGACATATGCTTATTCGGTTATCCTACTTGATCGGCGTTTGGCCGAGCCGACACGTAGTATACGGAGATGCATCATGATGTTGTTTGTATCGACCTTCAGCCGAGCCGATATTGTTAGCAGACTATTCTCTGCCTTCGGCTGTATGCCGAGCCGATGTTAACGTCAAGGTTTACATAGGCATGGTTCCCTTCGCGTGGGTGTCTGACGGAACGGCACGTGTTGGTCCACGTGACCGATAGGGTTCTCCCGGTACAATTATTTTTTTTATTTATTGGTTTTAAATGTTTCTTGGATAGCAATAAAGGAAAAGGAAAGAAAAAGGTTAGGGGAAATGAAGGAGTGACATGGTGGTGATGAGTGGAAGGAAAGAATGAGAACAAGCAAGCACCAAGAGAGAAGGGAGAAGCGAGTGTACACAAGGGGAGAGGCAAGAACAATGAGATGAAGCACATAAATTAAGAACAACAAGATGAAGCATGTGTGGGGGGAAAGGCAATAAAACTTAAAATACAAGCACGAGCGCCTAGGGGTGGTGAAATAAAGGAATAAACACTAGAATTTCTCTTATTACATGCAATTTTTATTGCGAATTTTTCATAAAAATTCGTAGGAAATATTGTTCCTACAAATTTTTCTGCGGAATTTTATCTGCACGTAATACTTTCGTAGATAATATATTTTTGCGAATTTTAAAATTCGCAGGAAATTTTCCTGCGAAATTTCTTGCAAAAAAAATTCGCAAGAAAGTTTCCTGCAAATTTTTTTGCAAGAATATTTTTTACGAAAAAAATTAAAGAAATTACTATAAATTCTATCAATAATTCTTCAACTTTCAAATGCTCACAATAAATTCATCCGAAACATTTGTTTTCATGCCTTTAACATGGGATACATAATCTTTTAAATTCTAAGATTGTAGATTATAAGCCTAACACTCAACCATACAAATCAACTTGTAAGGTAAGTGTTGCCCCAACTTATATACTATTTAATTGTTTTATTTTCAATCGATGTGGGACTTGAAGTTTTTTTTTAAATATTAAACTTATAAATTTAAATATTTTTTTTTATTTTTCTTGCGGATTAAAATTTACAGGAAAATCTGCAGGAAAAATTACCTGCAAAATTTTTCTACCATTTAGTAAACATTATTTGCGAATTTATTTTTGCAAGAAAATCTGCAAGAAATAAAATAAAATTCTTACAATATTTTTTGCAAATTTTTACCATGGAAAAAAATTTCTATAATCATTAAAATTGTAGGAAAATTTGAAAAAAATATCTGTAAATTATTTTTTGCAAATGAATTCGCAAAAAATTTCTGCCAATATTTTTTTGTAGGAAAATTCGCAAAAAATTTCTGCCAATATTTTTTTATAGGAAAATTCGCAAAAAATTTCTACAAATATTTTTTTGCAGGAAAATTCGTAAGAAAATGACACTTTTCTAGTAGTGAAGTACACTTTGATCTCAAATCCACCTATTTTCAAATGTCTCGATTTTATTAGGTGCTAATTGAACTCAAATTTTAAAACTTGATCCATCAAAGTCAATAATGTTCACTAAGAGCTTAGCCTTAAACCAACAATCCATCTCAATCACATCAATCCACCTTAGACATGTCAACAATTCACTTTTGGCGTACAAACTAGCTTTGTCCATCTCAAACATATTATTTTATCATAAGTTTATAATATTAAATTATTTTATTTTCTTTTTATTATAATTTTTTTCTTATTTTTCTCTAACATTAAAAATTATTTCATTTCTTGCCCTTTCACTACTAGAAAGATTGTATTATAAGTCGGTTCTTTTGTCATATCTACATCAATTCTAAGACCGACTTAGATGAAGGTGACGTAGATGAATGAACATATTTACATCGGTTATGTAAAAACCGACTTAGATGTATGTGTTCATCTAAGTCTGTTTTCATAAAACAGTCGTAGATGTATGTGTTGATCTAAGTCAGTTTTCATAAAACAGTCTTAGATGTATGTGTTGATCTAAGTTAGTTTTCGACAAAAACCGACTTAGATGTATGTGTAAATCTAAGTCAGTTTTTGTCAAAAACCGACTTAGATTAACACACATCTAAGTCGGTTTTTTTGTAGAACCGTTGTAGATTATATTTTTTTTAATCAGGTTAATTTTTAAAATAAAACTAACTAAATTATAAATATGTAAAAACTAATTCAATAAAACTAATCCAATTATCCAATGTGAGAGAAGCCACATCAAAATCCAACATAAACCAAAAGAGGCCAATATGAGATCCTTATCATTATAAGAATGACTCAATTACATCATTATCATTATATAATAAATAATACTAAAGAAGCCATATACTCAAAAATCAAGACAGACATATCTGAGATCCAAAAAGAAGAGTATTTTCTTACAAAGAGAAGAGAAGCTAAAAAAAATTAGGTCATACTACATTAGACATGTACTTAGCCGCCTAATGCTAAAGCCACATTCACCTATTTCTAAATTTTACATGTAATACTAAACCTTTCAACATGATCTATTTCTAAATTTTTCTAAAAAGAAATTTCCCTAATGAATCCGAATGTCTTCCAATTTGGTTTCCTCCAATGGTGTAGCATCTTCAAAAAGCTGCAACATATATACATCATATATTAGTTACATCATAATAAGAATTAAAAGAAATTAACAATATTTTTAAATGTACCTCACTCCAACCATTTTTTATACCCCTTTCAATTATTTCTGACATCCAATTCATGACATAGTATCCACATTCGTAATGTCCTTATTGTTTATAACTCTAAAATGAAAACCAAATTGAGTAGTATAAGTAATTTTTTTAATTAAGACAATAAAAGACACTTGTTAAGAACATTGACTTTAATTACAAACCACTTACCATGGGGTAAATCCATTCTAAGTTCTTTGATAGTGCAGTAGATCTACCATTCATGACATTATACACAACCATAACACTAAAAAAAATAAAATGAACGTAAGTTACATTATTAAAATTTTATAATATAGAGCATAAAATTAAAACATGTGTAAAAATTAAAGTTTACCTTTTGACTAAATTTTTGACATGCATAGTGGACTAAATTTTTTAGAGTTGCGGGAGACGATGATGGCTGTGGGTAGAACAAAGAGAGAAGACGATGGCTGCAGGTGGGAGACTTAACGGTGCCGTCGTTGAGAGTTGCGGGGGATGACCACGATGAATGTGGGTGAGAACAGAGAGAGAAGATGATGTTCAGAATTTCGGGAGACGACGATGAGGGTTGTGGGTGGGAGACTGAAGGGCGCGCACGAACTGGGAGAGAAAGGGCGCGCTAATTTTGGGTCTCCATCTAAGTCGGTTTTACACAAAAACCATCGTAGATGATTTATCATCTAAGACGGTTGTACAACAAACCGGCGTAGATATGTTCGTGTAAGCTCTTTTAATATGGTTATTATCTAAATCGTCGTAGATTATTTTCCCTTTATTTACACAACTGCCACTACATCCTATTTTACATCAGTTTTTAATAAACATTGAGCGACTTAGATTAATCATTTTGTACTAGTGTTTTTCTCTTAATCGAAAATATTGAAGGGTTTTACTAAGTTATGAATTTGGCTCTAGCCAGGTTAAATTTGAGTGATAAAGTAAACGAGTACAACTTGAAAATATAAAATTAAAATCTTTTTTAGACAAATGATTTACCAATGGAATGGTTTAATACATCTATTGAGGAAGACAATGCAACAATATGGGAACTACAACAATAGTTGGGGGTAGATTAGGAGGTACAAAGAGGAAGTGGAGGCCACGAGATGACAACATGAGGTTGATCTTAGCGTCTTATGAGAGGAGAATCTTGCAATTAAGGCTCAACAACAAAACATGCACAATGAAGCAAGCCATGCCCAACCTACTAATGAAGAAACGACCAATCATGTTATCCCATATACCTAAACACATCAATTTGGGCATGGAGACACCAAAGCCCAGTCTAGATCTTTCATCCATTACCAAGTTCATGGTGTGGCTACCACTCAACACCACCCCGTTATTGATGGAAAAATGGATGTCCCTCTCCCTCTCGGATGGAGGCCTCTCAATATTGAGATGTATGACGAAATTAGAAACCCCAAACAAACATATTGAAGTTTAAATGATACGGATGAACATGTAAATAAACGATGACACTGTAATATGTCAAGTTTTTCGACCTTATTTGAAAGGTACAACCTTAAGTTGGTACACTTAGTTGTCACCAAGTTTAGTTGATAGCTTCGATACAAAAGTATAATGCACAAGACATCACTATTTTTCCACATCATTTAACCATGTCAATCTTAGCCAATTTGAGGCAAATTGGTGATAAACCCCTAAGGAAGTTCAGGGAATGCTTCGATGAACTTTTAGTGAAAATATGCAACCTAAATCCTAAGATCACCCTTCATGCCATGCTACTAACTCTTAAACCTAAGCCTTTGGTAAATAGTTTGTGTCACAAACCATTGGTGCATATGGACGAGTTGAGTGCTAAAGTTGTTAGATATATACAAATAGAAGAATATGTTGAGTTTTGTAACAAAGTGAAGGTGAACACTAAAGGTAAAGGTTATTCTTAAAATAAAGAAAAAATAAATCCAATTAACAATAGGAAGTTCAAGAGTCATGACAACCAAGATGGCCAAGGTATGAATTACATATTCCCTTTAATGCTCTACAAGTTAATATTTAGGAAAAAACTCATAATGCAAATCAAATCAACTTGCCTCAACCTATATTTATAACTCAACTGATTCTAATAAAAACATTGTTGTTTCCACAAAAATTATGGTCATACTATTGAGGAGTATTAAGGAGTGTTGGACACTAGGAGACAAAATCAAAAGAGCTCATATAGGTTGAACACCCCAATAAATATGTCCAACATCATAACATGAATTGTGGTTCCAATTAAAGTTGGGGATGTGGACAAACTAATGGCAAGAGAGACAAGATAAACCTCATGTGGAGTAATCAACACTATAGCAAAAGGCTTTGCAAGAGGCAGACACACCACCATCTCAACAAGGAAGAGGTACCTTCGGACCATTCATGACATGAATGTAGTTAACGATTCATCTTTAAGGACCTTGTCCCCAATCACATTCTCAGAGAATGACTTTTGAGGAGTAAATATGAACCAAGATGGCACCATGATCATTATAGTTTAAGTTGCTAACTGGTAGGTCAAGAAGGCATCGATTGATCATAGGACACGATTGATGTGCTTTATTGGTTGATATGATGTCCAATCACATTGACTCAAAATCATACATTAATTGAATTTATTTAAAAACCTTTTGTTAATTTATTTATGAAAATTGGAGTAAAATTTTCACTAATGACATTCAAATAAACAACAATGTAGAAAAAAAATGCAAAATGTTTTCATTAATCAAATTACCAATACATCATACGAAATGTAAATGTAAAAAAAAAGGAAATACATGGAAACAAAAATAGTACATCATGAAATGGACACACCATTACAAAATCCACACATCAAACTCCGTAAGTAGAGTAATCTCTAAAACCTTTAACTAATCCTTCCACTCATCATCCCTCAAGTGGCCCTCCAAATCATCAAACAAGTCCTCACTTAGGTATGATCCCCACTTCTCATCCTACGTAAGGGTATCTTATGGAAATCGGGTTGATCCTTGACTAGGGAAGAAGATCTAACAACATCCTCATCTCCCTTGTCATCAGTCAACTATCAAATGAAGTGAGTTGTGTCTAGGGGATCGTATCAAACTCCACCTAAATTATCCAAATATTCTACACGATTTTATTAATAAAGAATTTTCAATTTTGAAGCTAAACTCAAATTGTTAAAATATTTCAATCCCATAAGTCTAAAAAAAAAGTCAATAAACTAAAATAATCCAATTCCATAAATCTAGACAAAAGTTAAAAAAATATAATATTTCGATCTCATGCTTCCAAGTAAAAGTGGACAAAATAAAATATTTCAATTTGATGTAAGTTCAAACAAAACTACAAAAAGTCAAAAAAAAAAAAATCTCACTTAACACATGTTGTATATTTAAGAAAAGATATTTAACTAATTTTATTGTAATGAGTATTTAAAAAGTACCAACAGATCAAATAGCTTAATATTCATTAAGAAATATGAATATATTCATTTAAATTATTTGTAATTAGTCATTTAAGTGACTGTTTATTATTCATTATGAATTTTATTTACAAATATGAATATTTTTGTCATTACTAATAATGGGTAAGTGATAATAATTAATTATCGTATACTATCCTCTCATATTATATATAAATCTACCACATTATTAGAGCCATAATTGTACATTTTGACTTTTATTTAAACCTCACAACTTTATCTTAGAAAGAAGTTACTAGAGGTAAAGGATTTTTTTTTTAATTACCTTTGTTCGTCTTCAATTTTTATGCAATTAAAGTGAAACTTTTTTGGTATACTAGAACTAATTTAATATTAATTATAATTATTTTATTACAATTATTAATTAGTACAAATATAAATTCAAAATACATTTTTAAGCAAAGATATTTAACTAAATTTTTTTTGTAATGAGTATTTAAAAAGTTTCAACGGGACAAATACTTTAATATTCGTTCCCATCATCATTTATTAATAATACAAATATATTTATTTAAATTATTTGTGATTAATCATGTTTATTATTCGATACGAATTTTACTTACAAATATGAATATTTTTTTTTCATCTTTAATAACATGTAAGTGGTAATAATTATCATATATACTATCCTTTAATATTATATATAAATGTACCATATTATTAAAGTCATAATTTTACATTTTGACATTTAATTATTTGAACCTCACAACTTTGTCTTAGAAAGACCTACAAGAGGTAAGGGACTTTTTTTTTATTACCTTTGGTTGTCTTCAATTTTTATGCAATTAAAGTGAAACTTTTTTGGTGTACTAGAACTAACTTAACATTAATTATAATTATTTTATTACAATTATTAGTTAGTACAAATATAAATTCAAAATACATTTTTACCCTTCAAATAAACTTTTAATTCATTAAACGTTGAATAAACTAAAGACATTTTTATTCATTTTCTACATATAGGAAACATGTCACTGATACAAACATGTTTTTTTTATCTTCTAACAGCGCGAAAATTAAAAAAACAAAAGAAAGAAAAAAAGAAGAAGCAGAAACTAATTTATTAAACCATAGGAAACCTAATAATGTTGTACCAAATGAGGAGGCTTTAGAGGGTATTAGGAGAGAGTTTGTGAAGGGTTTTTGTAGTTTTGGACTTTGATGGGTAGACCTTTGGGGAAATCGACAAAAGGGTATGCAAAAGGTTGATCTGCTTCAACGAGTTCCCAGTTGTAGTTAAGGATGAGATGGTGCATGAACACAGACATTTCAAGTTTTGCTAAGTCTGATCCCGTACACATTCTTGATCCTCCTCCGAATGGCATGAAGTTATTATTGCTTGCGTTTTGGCAACTTCCACTTGTATTATTACCCTGCACCTTCTCAAACCATAAATATTATAATCAAAATATTTATACTATTGGGCCTAAGTTGATATACGAGCATGAGCCACAAAGAAGTGCTTAACATTGAATCAGGATCTCTTAAACTTATCCAATCCATGAAAAAGATAGCTTCACTTCTAGTAAAAAAAAATTTAATTACTCAAAAAGTAATAAGTTGTAATTCTTGACAAAAAACAAAATGAATAAATCAATGATAAAATAAATACTTTTTTTTATAATAAAATATAATTTTCATTGAGATTTGAATGGTTAATTAACTTTGAGAATTCATTCCAACATAACTTTTAATTGTAAAATTTAACTTTAGTCCTTATAAGTTTTTTTTCAATTTCTTTTAGTTCTAATAAATTTTAACTTCTTTAAAAATATTTTCTATAACCATTTTATATGTTTATAATTACACCACATGCTACCTTAAAGTGATTAGTGATGTGGTATATACAACATATTAGTTTAAGTTCTTTTTTATAAATTATTTAAATAAAAAAATTTATTTTCTTAAAAAATAATTTCTAGCTACTTTTTAAAAATACTTTAAAAAAATTTAAATCATTTTTTATTTTACACAAATTGACCCATATAAAAATCTTGCTAATCAATATCTTAAGAAATTAGTATATAATTTTTTTTAATTACAAATCACATTAAAGTTACATAGACAAGTGTATTGTTACATTTTTTTAATGCGAAATTTTCACTACTGGTTGGAATTTTCCTATATCTATATATTACTAGTAGTATTTACGTAACATTAAACTAGCAATGAAAAAGACATTTCATACCTCTATAAAAAAATAAACATTTTTTTAATAAGTTGATAGTTACATTCTTAAAAATTAGTTATTATTTTGTATATGTATTTTCCCCTATTTTATTCATGGATATATTGGCAAAAAAAATTAAATATAAATATAAGAATATAATTATTTTTAAAAAAGTGGACACAAATAGAAAATATCCTCATTATATATTATTATAGACAATAGAATATTTGTTTTCAAAAATTTAAAATTTACAAAAACAAAATAACAATTTTTTTAACACTCATTATTAAGATCATAAACATAAATTTGGGTTGCTTTACTTCTCTTTAAATAAATTTCTATCTAATTTCAAAATATTTGAGTCAACAAGGTCAAAGAGACATTGTAACTAGTACTCCTCCTACAACAGCTAAAAGTATTACTAGTATTATTTGGTTTAAAGAAAGTAATAAATGAAGCAGGGTAAGAACAGAGTAGGCGATAGATAAGAGCAGCGTAGGTTGATAAAGGAAAAAAGCATACATGCACGTGCATGTGAATGCCCCACTTGCACACTATCTGCAACCACAGGGTCCTCCCCACACGTGCACAAAAAGTACCCTCATCATCATCCTTCATCGCATCTACTGGGACCCCTACGCTTCCCAAGATCCTTCTCCCCTCATTACCACACTTCATCTCTAGCTACTATACTAATCTCATCATCAAATTTACTCATATTAACCTAATCACTCTTATTTGAGACTACTAAAATGTGTACTTTAAGTTTTATTCATTATGCTAATATGATTGCTTAATATATAACTGAACCATGAAAATATATGATATTGTTTCTCACATCGAGCGTGAAATGAGTTATTTTGGGACTACAAATTTTGTATATTATAGAGAATCTGAGTCTGGTAGAACTATCTAGTTAGGACTAAGTCAACAAACAAGGATCATGCATTCTTTTCAGCTTCGTCAAAGAATGTAAAGTGCCTGATTCTGAAGCGCCGAATGTAAAGTGTTATGTACTACTAAAAGGGAAGCTAGAAAACCAAGCTAAAGGAAGCTAACACCTATAACTTCGGTTTACAACTAGAGACACGACATTTTTTTTATTACATTATTAGTAAGAGTATCCTAGGTCTACTAATCTCGCCCACGATTATCTCACTATTGCAAGTTCGAAGCAGTTTTAGTGTTTTACACATACGAGAATTAAACACCAGACTTCTTGCTAAACATGTGAACAAAAAGTGCCTAATTAATTATAATGTCAATCCATTGAGTTACATATATACAAAGTGTCGCTATTATTTCTCTATATTAAGAACACATATGCATCATTTTAGTAAGTATGGATTATTTTAAACACAACAATACTATTATCACAATAATATAAAAGATAAAATATAAAATTAAAGTATCATCCAAAATGTCATTGTTATGAGTTATCCGTGCTGTCTTGGCCGAAACTATGACTATAGGCAACTAATCTAATGCCTTATATATAGCTGTTTTGGCAAAATCTGAACCCCGTCATCAATTGAATTTTGTTCATTCACGGGCCACACATCCCATGGAGTGGAGTGATTGCATGTGGGAATCCACAGCAAGCACCAATTGGATTCAAGTGCTAAGAGATCGATGGGGACCTCTTCTTAGTGCTTAATAATCTTTTTTTTTCCCTTTTTCTAACAAATTCAAACATTGTCTTTAGAAAAGAAGAAGAAAAGGGAAGGATGATAATCATGCAAGGCGTGCATTGAGTCTATGGTTATAAATGTTTAAAACTAACCTGCCATCTCCATGGATTGAATTGCTGGGGTTGGTCAAAAAGTGAAGGATCCATATGCACCGCTGAAATCACCGGAAGGACTTTCCACCCACGTGGAATGTCATAACCTTTCAAACACAACAAACACACATTTTCAATACACAAAAGTTGTTGGATTTTCGGCAACTTTTCCTTTCACTACAACACTTAAGCCAATCCTTTCTCGTTTTTCTTTTCTTTTAGCCAAAAATGTAAGCAAACACAGTGATACTATTACTATATGTTCTTCTATTCGCCTATTTCTTACCTTTGTACCGAACATCTTTAATAGCCTTCCTGTGAAGGAACCTCACAACATTTCCTAGTCGAAGTGTTTCGTTTACAACCTTCCCAAAGACAAAGAAAGAGCAATTTATTATTAACGTAGATTTCATCGGTTGTAACGTGCTTCACCCCCATATAGTAATACTACTTTAAAAATAGAATAGTTATTGCTATTATTATATAATAGAAAAAGAGACAAGAAAGGACAGAAAGATGAACCCCAATTTATTTATCATCGCGTCATATACTATGACTTACACAGTGAGTAAACTCCATTCTCTTGTAATCATCCCAAGTCAATTCAAGCTCCCCTGTCTGCTTCTTAGAAGTGACTATTTCCACGTGCTCTTCCTATTATTTTCCAAAAAAAAAATTATTGGTTAGGAGTAAAGTTAATAAAAAAGAAAAAAATTGGTTGCGATATTATTATATTGTCCTAAGAAAATATTCCACGTAACGTCATGGTACATGCTTACCCTTAATTGTTGTATAGCTCGAGGACAGCCTGACAAGAAGTAAATAGCCAGAGATATGGCTATCGATGATGTTTCATGGCCAGCAAAGAGCAAACTCAATATCAAGTCAAGTATTTGCTCACTTGTAAGTTTTGAATGCTTCAAAACCCAATTCAGAAGATCACCATCTTCCTCCAAACCTGCGTTTCCCTTTTGCATTCTCTTAGCCCTTACTTCCATTTTCGCCTCTATGAACTTCAGTATGTTGGACCTTGACTGTAAGATACAAAGGAAGCGTTACAGTAATAAAAATTAAAAATTCAGTACCAATAATTAATTATCGTGAGAAAATGAGATATAAATACATAGAGATTTATTATCGTTACCTTTAATGCTTTTCTGTATGCTGTTCCAGGAAAATTCAAAGGCACAGGAGATATAGCACCCTTCATGAAATAGACATATTCTCTCTTCAATTGCTCTGTCTCGAGATTCTCAGGATCCATGCTCATGAGATGTTTCGCCATAACATTGAAGGTGAACTGCAATTAAATTAAGAAAACCAACTTTTAACTAATTCTTAATGTTAATAAATATCCTAATAATAATGATTAAGGAATCAAAATTTGAAAGTTTTTATCAAAAAGTGTAACAATATATGCTCTCATGTAACTTAGTATAATTTTCAATAAAAATTTCTCTCGATTGATTCCTTAAACAGTAGGATTAAGATACTGGTTAGGAATAATAAAATTTTGACAAGAAAATTAGTTAGTTAGTCACCCTTTTTGCTTCGGCTTGAGCTGAGAATGTAGAATTTTGCTTCCACGAGGTTATAACTTGAAGGGCATGCCTCTCCATATCTTTGAAAAGATTTATTCGGAGCCTCGCATAACTGAGAAAGTTGAGTGATATATTCCTCATGTCTCTGTGCATGTCCCCTACTAAGACCAACATAGACCATTTCCCAAGTATTGCCCCAAGACTATTTGGATAACTGATCTCAAACAACTTCCCTTCGTTCTGCAATATGAACTTATTCAGCCCTGCATCTGCTGACACTATGGCTGGATCACCAAACAAGTGTGACTTGTAAATTGTACCATACCTGCACATGTTGAACATTTTTAGTCTTAATTTTGGGTGGTCTTATTTTATTTATTTATTTAATAATTTTCCATTTGGGGGTGAGTTTAATTTAATTACCTTGCTATGCGCTTCTCCATAAATTCTCCTAGTGTAACAGCAGAGAAAGGCTTCAAATACCCAAAGGTTTCACCGAGAAGGGGCCACCCCATTTGGCCAGGGGGGAGATTAAGGGTTGGTTTCTTTGTTTTGGTGAAAATGAAGATGACAACAAGAGCAAGGATGGAAGAAAGAAAACAGAAAGTGATCAGGTGTGAGTCTGACATGGTGCTAGCTTGTCTAATTCTTTCTACTTTCTCTTATGATTATCTCTCTCTCTCTAGGAAGAAAAAAAACACAAAGAAACAAATGAAACTTGCATGTGCAGTAGTAGCATGCAACAGGATGAGGAAAAGGTTTCACTCTTGCTGCTGAAAAGGAGTATCCACCTTTTTAGCCTAGTAAAATCACAAAATCAGGTGTTTCAATGGAATCGGACCTAATGAAAATGTGAAGCCAAAGGGGCCTTTTATAAGCTTCTCTTCTGTCTTTAAGCAGAAAAGGAACAGCAGAAAGTAGCGAAGAAGTAGGCTTTACACTTGGAAAACATGCACTTTACCAATCATGCTTAATTTACTATGCTTAAATCTACCTTGATTATGCTTAAAAAAAATAGAAAGTATTTATTTAAAAGTATATATGCAGATTCTCTTATAATTTTATTGTAATTTTTAATAAAATCTTTTCAAATTTCAGCATTAAAAAAATTATATCTACACAATTTTTTTTAGCATGTATAACTATATATAGAAATGATATCTTTATTTTATGTACCCATACTATTTGACATGTTTACTCTTTAGAAAATAGATATTTATGCAACATCAATACAAAAGTAAATAACTATCGAGTTAAACATCTATAACTATATATCAATATCTTTATTTATTTTGTGTTTACATTTATTTTACATGTTTATCTTTTAGAAAATATAATATAATCAATACAAAAGTAAATGACTGTCAAGTGAGTTAAATAAATATCTATAATTTTATATAAAAACAATATATTTATTTCGTATCCACATTTATTTAACATATTTACCTTTTAGAAAATAAAATATAATCAATACAAAAGTAAATAACTGTCAAGTAAGTTAAATAAATATGAAATAATTGTACTCTGAAATCTTTAAAATTAATTGATTAGAAAACGTGATTTCCAAAATATAATTTTTTTCAAAATACATTTTTAATAACCACTCACTATTATGTAATTTTATTATTTATTATTTTTTAAAAGTATTTATGGAGACACAGGTATCTTTTGTACAATAATTAAAATAAGAAAAATATTAAAGAGTGTTTTTAATGCATTAATTAAGAAATTAAAGTATAAAAATTTTATCGAAAAATGTATCTATCATTCCTGTTTAAGTTTTAATAATTGTTTTTTACATATTAGTTCTTTAATTATTGCCCAATAAGTGCTTGATAGCAAAATGCTTAAAGAAAAGTTAGGAGAACTCGAGTCTTTTGATGCAGCTGAAACTGTTTCCCAAGACCAGAGTTTATCAATGGTTACTTCAAAATTCGTGGCATATATGCTAAGTAATTACCCGTATTTGGTACTCGTTGAGAAAGTATAGATACACCTAAAACATTTTATAAAAAAAAATAATAACTACTTAATTTAAGTACATATGGATATATATTTTTTAAGTACCTATCAAGTTTGTAGCAGTCTAAAGTATAAAATTTATATATGTCAATAAAAAAATTATTTTTTCTATTATTTTTATTTGCTCTTAATTCTTGATTCTCATCCATGAATAACATGACACAACTCATCAACAACTTCAACATATATAATGTTCAAGACTTATTATTGATGTTTTCACATTACAATTTTTATATTTTAGTATTTTACATTTTTTCATAAACTTTTATTACAAATGTCTTCTCAACAATTTAATAGGGGTCTGTAAGTGATAGTCAATTAACCTACAACTGAACAATATGTCACGGGAAAAATTGAGAGTAATAATCCCATTGGACTTTCAGGTACCTGTGAGAACTACAAGTTTGAATTCACATGTAAATGGAAGTAAGAGAAGAAGAGACATGAAGGACCATCAGAAAAAGACTTTTCAATAATGAGACTATCATTTATCTAGTGAAATAGTTAGGCTATTTTATTCTACTAGTTTGTCATTTAATATTACTAAGAATCCTTATTATTTCTATGTTTCACATATGCTGCTGATATTTCTAGCTATCTCAAGTTTTCTTTCACGTAGTTACTCTTAAAATATGATATATCATAATTAAAATGTGATATCATAGTTTAAGAATGCTATTATAATCATGTTATAAGTGTTAAGATTTTTATTATTGATATTTTAGTTCAAGTGACAAGTGTTCTATTTGTTTATAAATTCATTTTTATCATTTATACATTTTACTTATATTTTTTATATAGTTAAAAATAAATTTTTAAACTACATTAACATACTCGTACCTAGATTTAAAAAAAAAAATCACAAATCACGTATCTCGTATCCATATTGTCATCTGTAGAACCCGTATCCATGCAGCACATATATTATTTTGTTTTCTTAACTGTTGCTTTTGTTTTCTTTTACTTCTCTCGTGTGTTAAAAAAGAAATGGTTTAACCACGTGTGTGTGACTTACGATCAAGCTATGAAACAGAAAATGCGCACTTCAAGTAAAATGTTGTCCGTGACATTTATATTCCATTTGCAGGGAAAGGACAAGCGTGCATGCCATGACGATACAGTACGCTTTTGTTAAGCATGGTCTAGTTCTAGTTCTAGTAGTAACTAGCAGAAGAAATAACACACACAGTCATGCAGGTGATGGAAATTTGGAACCAAACCAACCTGGTTCCAATAACTTGATGTTTCAAATACCTAACATATAAAAGGGTTTATGATATATTGTTTATCTTTAGGTAACATTATTGATCATTTAATACTGAATTTTGAGTGGGTGTGGAGAGTGGAAGGGGGTAATAAATAGCGTAACGAAAAGAAGAGGAAAGAGAGAAAAGCAAAGCACATAAGCGATTAATGTGGGTGGTCCAGAAGGGAGAAGGGAGAAGGGAGAAGGGAAGCAATGCATAGGGGTTTGACAGAAACGAGGAGTCTGCGGTGACAGAGGAGAGGGAAGAAGAAAACAAAAGCAAACAAATTAAGATTCAAAGTAGCAGGGGGAGATTAATGGGGAGAAACAAGTTCATGTAAATGTGTGTAGAAGCATTAAAGGGAAGGTGGCAGGGCCCAGAGCAAGCCCAGGTTAGGGCCCATTAAGGGGACCTCAATCATTTCTCATTTCTCATTTCTCACGCGCCCATCTCTCTACTCGCTTTCCTCTGGCACTGCTTTCTAAGCTTCGCCCTTCCAAGTGTGAAGGGGGCAATCTATGTTTTCTATCATTATTCCCACAAATATTACGCCTCTTTCTCTCTCCATCAACTTATTCTCCTTACACTTTTAACGGAAGAAAATTTAGGTACAATTTTCTTTTAAAAGTATGCTTAATTGCTTATTATATATTCGGAGATAAATATAACCTAACATAGTAGTACAATTAGTCACTCCCTCAGACATTGGACATTTTCGTTCTAATTTTATAATTAAAAGGAATCTTTCTATTTTTTTTTTCAAAACCTTCAATAATTAATAAATTAATTCAATTAATGTTATATTACGAAGTTAAAGTTTGTTATATTAATATTAAAATATCACAATTTCTTAAAACTAAAATAATTTAGAACTAATGTAATTAATATTTTATCATACCGTTATAGTTTTTTTTATTATATGTGTTAGTATATTATATAATTACATAAATTATAAAATTTTAATTTATTTTATAACATTTGTATATAAAAATATGTGGGGGAAGTTTTGTAGTTACAAGTTTTTATTAGAGGAAATTATTAAAGAGAAGCAAAAATAATATTTATTTATTTTTAATTATTTTCAGTAATAGTTTATTTTATAATATTGTAAAAATCTAATAATGATTGATAATTTATTTTATAATATTTATTTTGATATATTTATTTTTTAATTACTTTCAATAGCAGTTTATGAAAATCTAACAATGATAAATAATTATTAAAATATTTTATCCAATTTTTTTTAGTTATATATATATATATATATATAGTCAGTAACAATTTATTTTATAGCATTACAATTAAAATATTTTATCCAAATTTTCCTTATAGTTTGATTTTTTTATTTATTAGTAATTATTAAAATATTTATATATAAATTTTTATTTTGATATATTTACTTTGATATTTTTTTTTAATTATTTTGAGTAGAAATTTTAATATATTTGTTTTTTAAAATTATTTTTTAGTAATACTTTATTTTATAATAATATTTATTTATTTATATATATAAAATATTTAGGATGAGGTTATTGTTGGGAATAAATATTTAGGATGGATTTATTGGAGGAAATATTAGAAAGAAGTTCATAGAGGGAGTTTTGAAGAGAAGAAATTATTCTTTTATATATATACTATAGAAGCTTTACACTTTATTCTTGTAATTATCTTTATCTCTTTTTGAAATGATCATTGACTCTTATAGTATCTGTAAAACAATTTCAGTTCATTGAAAGGATTTAGTTTAGGAAAAAAGAAATTTGTTGAACTATATTTTTATGATAAAAGAATGAAAGATGAGAGAAAAAGAAAGAATAAAGTTCAAATAACTGATAGGAGAAAAAAGAAGTCTCATCTAATTTAAAAATGAAATAAGAAATTGAAAGGATAAAAAAATAAAAATTACAAAAGAAGAATAATATAAAATAAAAAATAATAACTTTTAATGATTATATTAAATAACATAATTATTTAATTTATATAATTAATTGTGTAACGACCCGGCTGGTCACTACACCCGGCATAACACACTAGAAACACCAGACAGATAGAACAAGTATATAAATATAGGATCTATAATATATAAATATACAAGGTTCTAGTCTGACTAGAGTTAAAGTGTACTAAGTATAACATGAGAGGAATTGAAATTATACACTATGTTTGAATATATAAGTTATATTTTAAAATTAGTATACATAAATATTTTTAAACATATAAATTATATTTTAGATTTATGATTAAAAAAATTATACGGTAAGAAAAAATTTATTTTTATGTATTGGTAATTTATTTTAAAATATCAGTATTTGATTCATAAATAATTATGATAAATAAAAATTGAATTAGATAATAAATTAAAAAAATCCTACAAACTCTTTCCTTAAAGAAAGTTCCTAAAAACACTCTCATGAAATATAAAAATTCGTATTTAATATATAAGATTTGATTTCCTACACTCAAGATATTGTAGCCACATAGACATAAATTTAAAGAAGTATGCATGGGCATTTATAAACTTGAAAGCTATGAATCAGCATGCTTTAAAGAACATATTTCACAAGCAGCACATGACCC